GTCTCGAACTCCTGATCTTGTGATTTGCCCTCCTTGGCCTCCCAAAGTGCTAGGATTAGTGCGAGCCACCGCGTCCAGCCTTATTTCTTATTTTTAGTGACATGGTCTTGCTCTGTCGCCCAGGCTGGGCTGCAGTGGTATGATCATGGTTTATTGCAGCCTTGAACTCCTGAGCTCAGGTGTTCCTCCTGCTACAGCCCCCTAAGTAGCTGGAACCACAGGCATGCACCACCACACCTGGCTAATTTTTAAATTTTGTTTTGTAGGGATGGGGTCTCGCTCTATTGCCCAGGCTGTTCTCAAACTCCTGGGCTCAAGCAATCCTTCTGCCTTGACCTCCCAAAGTGCTGGGATTGTGCCCAGCGTCCTTGAAGTTTTGCTCAGAAGAGCAAACTTCCCCGGAAGTAGCTGCAGGGGAACTAGGGACTCCAAGGATGGAGCTGAAATGGGTGAACGGACAAAGTGGGTAAACTGAGGCATGCCAGGGCCCTGGAGGTAGACTCAGGAAGGAAGAGGACACTTTATTGTAGTTCTCACTGTGCCAGGACCTGGCCTAAGCGTGTTTGGTTCATCCCATGTGTGGATCAGTTAGCCATTCTTTTAGTGTTTTTACAGCTTTGCCAAATCCTTGTAGCATCTCTGCTATCCCTTCTGTAAAATTGCTCTTAAATCTGCTCACTAGGTTTGTGTAAATATCTCCCCTGATATCTGAACTCCTTCTGGAATCTGGAACAAAATAATTTAGATACATTTTTCTCTTTCTTCTCTTCCTTTCCTTTCTTCTTTTCTTCTTTCTTTTCTTTCCTCCTTCCCTCTGTCCCTCCCTTCCTTCCTTTCCTTCCTTTCGACTCTCTCCCTCCTTCCCTCCTTCCCTCCTTTCTTTCCTTAGTTTTTTTTTTTTTTTTTTTTTTTTTTTGAGATGGAGTTTCGCTCTTGTCGCCCAGGCTGGAGGGCAATGGTGTGATGGCTCACTGCAGCTTCTGCCTCCTGGGTTCAACCGATTCTCCTGCCTCAGGCTTCTGAGTAGCTGGGATTACAGGCACCCGCCACCATGCCCAGCTAATTTTTGTATTTTTTTTTTTTTTTAGTAGAGATGGTGTTTCACCATGTTGGCCAGTCTGGTCTTGAACTCCTGACCTCAGGTGATCCACTTCAGCCTCCCAAAGTGCTGGGATTACAGGCATGAGCCACTGCACCCAGCCTCTTTCTTGCTTGCTTGCTTTTTTCTTTTTTTTTTTTTGAGACAGGGTCTTACTCTGTTGTCCAGGTTGGAGTGCAGTGGCGTGGTCACAGCCCTCTGCATCACTGCAGCCTTGATCTCCCAGGCTGAAGTGATCCTCCCGCCTCAGCCTCCTAAGCACATACTGCCACACCTGGCTAATTTTTTTTTTTTTTTTTTAGAGATAGGGTGGTCCCACTATATTGCATAGCTGGTCTCGAACTCCTGGGTTCAGGCGATCCTCTGGCCTCAGCCTCCCAAAGTGCTAGGATTACAGGCATGAGCCATAGCACCCGACCCTACATTTTCAAATGAAATTCTCATTCTCTAAACCTGTTATTTACTCTGGTGCCAATCACCTTCAGATAGCAAGAGAGACTTGTGCATTTTTTTAGGTGGGGGAAAGTTTTATGTGTGATCACCATAAATGGAAAACTTGCCCCATTTGGCACAGAGAGGAATAAACAAGCCACAAAGAAGCCAAATACAATGAAAAGCAAACAAAGGTGTTTCCCTACTTGCTAGATGGCTGTTGCCAGCTCCACTTTTTGAGCCCGAGGCCTGCTTTTCTCGTCCAAAAGAGTAGCAAAGGGTTAGGCATTCAAAAATATTCTAGCACCCAGCTGAGCCTCTCTCCTTGACAGTCGTCAGGAGAACTGAAAAAGGAATGACTTTCTCACTGCGTTATTCAAGGTTATTTTAAGCTCCGTGTGAAGTTCGTGTCGCGTTGCCTCTGGCTGGGACTGGTATGCAAGCCCCATTTCAGGAAACACTGCGTTCTTTCCCTGGCTCCTCATAGCTCCCTGGAGTAGGCTGCGCTATTATTGTCTTTTCATTAGAGGAGGAAATTTAGGCTCAGAGAGGTGAAGCCGCTTGCCCAAAGTCACACAGCCACGTCAGCCCCTAGCACGTGGGCTGTCCCTAAGTTACCCTCTGGATGTTCTTTCTCTTGGTGAACATCTTGTGTTTGGATGGGGGAACAGCGAGGATACCCCCAGTGGCCCTCTGCCTTTGCACTTGAGGCTCCGCAGATGACGGTGACCCACCTCTTCCTGCTCAGGCTTTCTGGACTCACTGGCTTCCTTCCCATGGGGAAGGGGGACTGTCCTCGGCTCCAGTCTCTCCCTGAGGCGGTCAGAGCCAGGGCCAGGGGCAGCGTGGACTCTGACTGCCTCTGCGGGTGCGGGGTCAGTGTCAACAGCCCCTCTACAGAAGCATGAACACACCGACCGGATACTGGGGTCGGGGGGCAGCCCTGGGTTCACGCTCCACCCTGCACCCCCAGAGGGACCTTGTGCCAGTGTGGGCGCCCCCGGACCGCCCACCCTGCAGTGGCCATGGAGGATGCCTTCGGGGCAGCCGTGGTGACCGTGTGGGACAGCGATGCACACACCACGGAGAAGCCCACCGATGCCTACGGAGAGCTGGACTTCATGGGGGCCGGCCGCAAGCACAGCAATGTGAGGCAGGCCTGTGTGGGCAGGGCCCGGGCACCAGGGGGCTGCATGCTCGGGGCTCCAGAGTGGAGCCGGGATGCCCGCGCTGAACGTTGGCCCCCTCCGCTCATCCTTGTCTTTGCTCTCTGTGTCCCCTCCGCCCCACCTGTCTTCTCTCTGAGGTGGTCTCCTTCTCTCTGTGTCTCTGTCTCCATCTGTCTCTGTGTCCCTCTCTC